CTCACTTGAGCAGCTCTCTTATCCTTTCTCTTAGGCCTGTAACTTGACCTCTCTCTCCTGGGGAGCCACCTTTCTGGGTCTGGTGGAGGACCAGGGTTGGCAGGGTCAAATCCTTTGGGATACCTTGGCTTTCTCTTTCTCTTTTTCTTCGGTTTCTCCCTCCTTACTTCCTCATGTGCTTCAGGGACAACATGAGCAGCGCCTTCAACATGTTTTGCACCAGAAGTCTTCTCCAAACTATTCACATCAACCCCCTTGAAACCAGGCAATGGCTTCAGTTTCTTCTCATAAGCTTCAGCCTTGTCAACATCCACATGAGCAGCTGTAGTGACCAGCCCAACCAATGCCTCAACGCTTCCATGTGTTTTCACAAGCTCCTCATAGAGATGGAAGGCATCCTCCTTTCGACCATGTCTGAGCTTGAAGGAAGCAGCCTCCTGCATTATAACACTTAGCTGATTGTCCTCGGTCATGGAATTTAACCACCATTTGATTGCAGCGTCAAGCACAGCTGCTGCACCTTTGATATCTCCAGCAGCTCTTTAAGAGAACACAGGGTGGCCACAGTACCAGGCATGTGCTGGATATCACGTATCTTAGCCAGGGACTCAGCTGCAATATGAGGATGGTTGGCAGCAGCAGCAACCTGTGCCCTTGCCAGAAGAACAACTTGGACTGGTAGGGAACTTTCAGCATGCTGCCCATATTTCTTCAGCTCTTGCAGCCTTTTTCCTCCTCACTAAGACAGCAGCTTGAAGCAATACTGGATCACACTGCCAGGAAAAGGTCTGGCAATGTGGCAACAAGTTCTTGGGCCTGTAAAGTTTCAGCAATGAAACATATAAGACATCATGTAACCAGGAATCTTGAAGCAGTGGTTTGCTCATAGAAGTAAAAAAAAATGGGACATATCACAGAGAAATTTGCAAACCCCAGAGTATACCTGATCCATCTTATTTGCATGAAGAAGTAAAAGCACCCGATTTGCATATATTGCCTCTTTTTGCTTTGATGAAAGCTTCAAGTCAAGCACACCAGCAAGCTGAAAGTTTTGCATGCCTTTCTCTTTGATGCGATCAAGTTTCCTTAAGCTATCTGAAACATCTTTTGGACCCTTTAGTGCAACGAGGTTGTTCACTGCCACAGCAAGTGATGATCATCTGCCAGATTTCGTTTGATAATGTCTGCATAAGCTCCAATAGCCTCTTGTTTGTTTCCAAGAAGCGATTAAAGAAACTAATTTGCATTACTGACCATTGTATAACTCCCATCGCAAAATAGAGAGAAAAATTAAAACAGTACAATATTTGCAAAGGCCGTTGTTTTACCTGCTGAACATACACTAATTGGACAGCTATAGGAGCCAATCAATCTCTATCTCATCCTCGACATAGTTTTCATCAGTCAGTGTTTCCTGACCAATTCTGACAAAAACAGTAAATCAGTCCATAGAGTTCAACTCTCATCTTTACCAGAAGTTCTGAACTTTAATGACTCACACATGAAGTATAAGAAAATAGAAGCCACCAGCCAAAAATTATGATAAGAAAGACAAAAAAAAAAAAAAAAAAAAAAATTATAACAGACAGAAAAGATCATATGAATTGAATAGCTTCAAAATCTCAGAAAATTCCCACTTAGAAACTCATCCAAATTTTTCAGTTAAAAATAGGTGTATCCTTTCATATGAAACAAATGTCAATGTGCACTCAGCAACACCAATAAAAACCAAAAAAATTATCCAAAAATGATAAAGCCTAAACAAGTGATCAATAAAAGTAAATGTTAGATGCTAAATTATAAGACAGTTGTGAACTCTCTTCTATGGCATGAACTCAGCATCAGTGTGGAATTTCATTGTCCATGTCCGAACCTACCATGCCATGAATGAAGCTCAAGTAGATGTCAAGGGAACCATCTTTATGACCATTTAAATTTTATGACAAATCAAGCTCATTGAAGATAGCATAGTGGAAACTAACACAAGAAGTTGTGGACTCTATTTTGAGTTAATTTCATAAACAACAATCAGATAACATGACATCTAACGAAGGGTTTGCTGAGAAGTGCTGTATCAAAAGTTTGCACTTCTGACATTGCTCGCAAATTACCTCCGTAGACACTTTCTTACTTAAAAATGGTTAAAATCAACTAAATATCCATAAGTTGACTTTCACACTTGTACAGAATTCCCACGCAAAATGTCATTTGTACAGTTACTAGAATACTACTAATATAAGGTTGAAGACTATTACAAAACTAGAAACATTAATATATTCATAAAGTTCCAGTACTGTAATAAATAATATACTGTCACCAAAAAAAAAAAAAAAAAAACCATTATGATAACAGTGCCTTAATACCTTCGGGCAGCCAACAAGAGTTGTTCTGCATCAGAGTACTTATTCCTTTCAACTAGAGAACAAGCTGTGTTGTATGCCAATTCAAAGCTGCTAGTTGCTTTCACCCTAAGTCCATCCAGTGTTTTTTGCACTTCAGAAGCCCTTCCAGCCGAAATCAAACCAGCCACAAAATTTATTTCTAAAGAATCAATCTTGGATTTTTGAAGCTTCTCATATATATCTACACAGGCATCTATTTCTCCTAAACGATATAAAATCTGAGATTTCAAGAGCATGGAAGCAGAATCGCTCTCTTGGTTTTTCAATAATTCCAATGCTTCACCTAACTTGTTTTGCCTGTATAGGCAATACGCCTATTTAGAAACAGCAGAAGGCAAAATTTATGTCAACTTTAGAAGCATCTAATTCAGCCACAGATCATCCAATATTATTAAAAAAAATATAGAACAATTGAGAAAATGCAGAGGCCGCAAAACAGTTGTAAGAAATATAGATGTATTACCTCACGTCATTATTGAAGAACTCAAACGAATGGAAAAAATGCACTTCAATAATGTGATGCAAAGAATCAACAAAAATTGAACGAATTTCAGAAAATAAAATAAATAAATACTCTATCATGGCGGCTAGCATGGAAATGCAATAAAAAAATTTCTCCAAAAATTAACCACGTTTTAACACAATATGTCAAGAATCGACCATGGCAGCGTATTATAATTAAGAAGATAAGCACAGCACGAAATACTTTAGAAAATTAAAAACCTTGAAGTAACTAAAGTCGATAGGGAGCTTCTGAGACGATTGAATTGTAGAGAGGGCTCCGTCAATGTCGTCCGCCTTTATCAAAGCCACCACTTTGCACCGCATCGCGTCCTCGTCGCCGGGCGCAATTGAGAGAACTGCAAAACAGTTACATGCAACATTTCCATAAATAAGAGAACATAAAATGTTAAACAATAAAAAAGAAATGAATAGCCTGAAAGCTTCAGAACGTACCTTGATCTGCGACTTTGACGGCTTGTTCGAATTCGGATCCCTCAATATGTCTGTTAAGCAAGGTGAATAGATCTTCGATAGCAGGTGGTGGCTGCGACGGCGCGGGCTTTGGTTTTTCTTTAGTTTTAGGAGCCATTGATCGAGATTTTGTTCGTTGTGGGAATTGCTTGAATTATTTTCTCGGTTACCAAACAGATCAGAGTGGAGGCGAGTTTCAAGGTTTGAGTATCGGAAGTTGCGGGTTTAGGCTGGCTGATACCTGTACTCTGAGTTTTGGCGTTCCTACCAACTCTTCGGGTTTCTTCAGGCTGGGCCGAGCGACCCGTGAAGCAGCCCAAATGTATTTTAGATTGATGTTGGAATTTGGCCCGAAACTTATAGGTGCGTTTGGTTTATTATTTTGAATATGATTTTGGGAATAATATTGGGTAGTTGAATATAGGAGTATTATAAGGTAAAATTTAAAAATTTATAAAAAAACCCTTAAGTTTGCTAATTTATTAAACACCCCAACATATAAAATGACAAAAACACTCACATCACCCGCAGTGTCAGATTCCGGCCACCACCACTGGAATATGGTCAGAAAATTACGTTACGACACAGATCAGTCGAATCTGTGTCGTAATGTGTCGATATGGCCTTTTCTGGCCAGATCCGTGATTTTTCCGACCATATCCATCACGGATCTGGCCAGAAAAGGCCAGATCTATAGTCAGATGTGGTTGTCGACGGATCGATGAACTACCAACAATTTTTGGTCGTGGTGTAGGCCGTTTTACAGATTCTGACTACCACCGATGATAGTTGCCAAAATCTGACAAGTATGAGTTGATAGAGGTCTTTTTGTTAATTTTTAAACTTTTTTTCTGAGGGTATTCAATAAAATTAATAAACCTAAAGGGTCTAAAATTAATTAAAAAAATATAATAATATTTCTAAAATAATATGTCAAACAATATTTAGAGAATATAATTAAAAATATAGATAAAAATAGAAAACCAAACGCGTCCTATAAAATTAGGCTGCCAATTGCAACCATTCCCGATGCATATGATTGCGTACATTTTTTTCCTGACAACATAAACACTTCACCTACTACCTACCATTCACCCATCTATGCCAAAATTACAAAATATATTTTTAAATTAATAATTTCATGAAACTATTACACCAATAATTCCTTACAGCATGTTTTTATTATGACTAGTATCTGCGAAGAAATTAAAATAAAAGGAAAATGAAAGCCAAATTATTTTTGTTTCTAAAGTATATTTTTGAATCCCAAGAGACTGGTTACTAATGAGATTTCTTATCTATCTTAAGTTTTTGAATTCAAAATTTAAATCTTAGGATTATCTATCACAATAATTTAATCTTTTGAGTTTATAGGATGTTTAATATGCACAAACTGATCCAGACAATCCAATTACCCAAAAAAAAAAAAAAATGTATACTTTTGACAAAAATAAATGAAATAAGTCTTTATGTTATTTTTATTGGTTTGGTAGTTGGAATTTAAAAATAGTTTTTGATTTAAAAAAAAAAAAAAGGATACTGTTTAATTTAAAAATTTGGGGCTTAAATGGTCAAAGGGCCGGCCCATCTAAACCGTAACGCCTGTTAAGCGAAGTGATAACGATCGCTCTTCCGAAGGGTGATCGTAAGAGTAATGAATCATTCACATTTTCAAACTTTTTGAAGGAATAAAAATAGTCAATTTTTCATTTTTGCTTTTTCCGCCGAGACATACACAAATTTCCCTCCCAAGTTCCAACTTCCAACTGAGCAATTGGCTGAGAAAATAAGAAAAAGAAAGCAGCGATGGATAGTCAAGGAAACAGAGAGAAAATGTCCAAACAGAAACGAGATAGGAACCTCCTCGCCTTCACCGGAGCTACCGCTATTGCCGTCCTCGCTGTCAACTTCGCTATTGCCGCTTTCAACGCTCACAAGAAAAAACAAAAGAAGAAAGGTTCTCTCATCATTTCAAAATTTACTTTCTTCCGAGTTCTTATTGTATTTCTGTATAACTTTGCTTTTTGTTTTCTCAAATTACAGATCTTCAAGGCTCTAATGTCCGCGTTAACTTGTCGGCTTCTGAAATTCTAAAATTAGCAGACCGAATCATTGCTAAGTCAAAACAAGTCCACGATGCAGTGGCTTCAGTTCCTTTTGACAAGGTATTAATGCATTTTTAGCGGTCGCTTGTTTTTGCAATTTATATTATGCTATAATCAAATTCTGGCACTGTATTCTGTTTGGGATTAAAATTCAAGGTCAATCATTGGTGTAGTTTGTGTATTGTAGCTTGTATCAGTTTTCTTGTAGCAAAAATCCATAGTGCTGAGTTGAAATTCGAACTTTGCAGCTGTCTTTAATGTTTATTCTGTAAATGCAGGTTACATATTTGAACGTTATTTCACCTCTAGCAGAGTTGGAGGCAGAGCAATTTCCGCAAGTCCAATCTTGTGTGTTTCCGAGGTTGGTGTCCAGTTTGGATGATGTGCGTAAAGCGAGCACTGAAGCAGAGAGGAGAATAGATGCTCATGTTTTGTCTTGCAGGTTTCACTTTTTCATTATGTACACAACTTTACATAATTCACCTTGGTAGAAGAATAGTCATAATTGAATGTTTCAACATGTTATGATTAAAATGGGTTGTAGATATATGATTGTTGGAAGATGGAACTGAGAGTAGCTTTGCATTCATTTGATAAAGTTTGGAATTAATCATTGTGTTCTTTCGTGCAAGTTGATCAGCAAGCGTGAAGATGTGTACCGTGCTGTCAAAGCTTATGCTTCTAAGAGAGAATGGACAAGCCCTGAAGTTAAACGTTATATCCAATCCTTGGTAAGGAGAGACTTACTTTATCATATGTTACTTCTGTGGAACATGACTTGGGGTTATCAATTTTTAACTAACTATTTTTACCTGCTTGGAATTTGGAACCTCTGTATATACAGCTAAGTAACTGACCTAGATTTTGTAATTCATGTCTGTTGAACTATTAGTATTATACCAGGAACATTAATAATTTTGGTTTGATACTCATACATCAGTTCTTCAGTCCAAATGTTAATCTCTTTCTGATCAGTGACAGGTCAGAGACTTTGAGCGGAATGGATTGAACCTTACTGTAACAAAGAGAGAGGAAGTGCAGAGATTGAGAGCTCAGATTGACGAGCTAAGCTTGCGGTATGTACGAAATTTGAGTGATGATAATACTTTTCTTCTTTTCAACGAGGCTGAGCTTGTTGGATTGCCACCGGAGTTTCTGAAGGTTGATTTTTCCCCATTCCTTTTTACGTTTATGAATTATTGTTACACAATATCACACATCACTAACCTTCATAGGAAAGTAATGGACTTGTTAAGTCTCCTTTACAGTAAATACTATCATGAAGTAGTCACTAAGATTATTTATTTAGTATATCTTTTTGGGTGCATGCTTGCAACCAGAAAACCCCCATGGGAAATATCTTCCATATTGCATGGCTCTTAACTTCTTCTGTATAAGTGTATATATATTGTGTAAAAACTAATTCATTGATAGAGGCAAAACTGTGTAAATTTCTTTATTCAAGAATTTGGATGACACATGAGCAATGGCTATAGTAGATAATAGAAGCAAATGGTTGCTTCAACTCAAGTTCTCAATATTTTTATAAGTCCTAGACTATGATAGGGAAAACCAAATTCTCTGATGGCAAATCTCCTTACAATTTGCACACAGGCCCATAATTTAGTTATTATTGCTACTATTTGTCTGATTATTAATCAGTGAAACCTTAAAGCATTTAAATTTACTCTGATTTAATCAATAAAGAAGTCGATTAATATTTACCTAACCTATGCATTATATCTGAATAAATCAGATTAATTTTCATCATAAATATCATTTTTTATTAAGGTGTGATTTTTTTCTTGTGCAGAGTTTAGATAAAGCTGAAAATGGAAAGTTCAAGGTCATGCTGAAAGGTCATCACGTTCCAGTGGTGTTAGAGCTATGCAAGGTATGCTTTTTTGCATTGATCATTATAATATCTCTCCCTTTAGTGGGCCATTTAACTATTAATTATTCGTTGCAAGGTCTGTTATCAATTTTTCTGCAACAATGTTTTTTAGATTGGGCTGGTTTTGTTCACCAAAATAATTTATTACTTCATATGCACAACTTTATATGGGAGGAAATTGAGGGGTTACTAGCTAAGTCAATTGCTCTGTGTTGAGCTTTATATCAACTGCATCACTTTGTCAACTTCTTAATTCTGGTTATCATTTCTCTATGTGGAACCTTTATTCTCTTTTTTTGCCATTGTTTTGGCTACACTTAATGGATTGAGTGATTATAGGATATATGATCATGTAATTCACTATTTTTTCTTTGAGTGTTTTGAAGGTAGGAAGAACAAGAAGATTAGTAGCTGAAGCACATGGGAAGAGGTGTGGAGATATCAATCTGTCTGTCTTGGAATGTTTGGTAAGTATTTAATAAAACATTATTTCCAGATTTTATTGTAGGTGTTGCTCTAGGTCTGGTTCTGTTATTAAATTTAATATCTGCTCTATCTTGTTGGAATCCTGAAATGTCAAATTTTTCCATAACGTAATTTTGCTAGCTGGAAATGGAGCAATGCTCAATGGTTGAAATATATGTTTGATGTTGAAAATAATTGCAACTGTTGTTTTTTATGCGGTTTGCTTATTAAAATTATCCAATTTGAGTGGTTTGCTTGCAATTTGTTGAGAAGTTCTTTTTTACTGTTTGAAGTCTTGGTAAAACAGGTTGAATTGCATGGCCATTTACTCATTTTTCTGACTGTTTTGACTTTGAATGGATTGCCGTGAAAGGCTATTGACATTTATTCTTTTTTCTTCTGATTTAGGTTGAAACACGCCATAAATTAGCCCGTTTGCTTGGCTATTTGAACTATGCAGACTATGCAGTTGATCTTAGAATGGCAAAGACGTCATCTAAGGTTTGTATGATTCATCCCCTCAGGATATTATAACATTACAATTTTCATTGTAGGAACAAAGACGGGGTTAAAAATGGGTGTCACATCTTTCAGTCCATTTTGGCCTGTTGGCTTGTTTGGATTCTTTATGCAATGGCTTATGAATCCAACTCAGCTAATATTAGATGCTTGTGTTATTGTATACTATTTCAGTTCACAAGGTATTTAGTGATTTGAGTCACTGATTTATATTTTTCTTTTCAAATTGGACTTTGGTCAATTACATTTTGATCATTATTTTTTTCCCTTTCCTTTTCGCAATTTAACTTTAGGACTGACAGACATCCCTGCTATTTGCCTTATTTCTTTATGGATCTGATAATAATATTGCCTCATCCCAAATTAGTTCAATGTATTTCCAGAATCCTGCAAAAGGTTTCCATGACATTTGCATTATTCCTTGTAACCGCTGAGTATATGGCCTTAGGCTTATAACTACATTGTTGGATGTGATGATCAGTTAAATGATTAGGACCTCAAATATTAAGTCTGTCTTGATCTGTGAAGCTGATATTTACACGAGGTGCTTTTATGTCCAGGTATTTGAGTTCTTAGAGGAAATCTCTGCCAGTCTGACTGACTTGGCAACTAAAGAACTTATGATGTTGAAGGATTTAAAGGTTAGCATCTGCTTGTACATTATTTACCTCTGCCATGATTCGTTTCATCTCTGATTGGTTTTGGGTGTAATGGGGGCATCAGAAGAAAGAAGAAGGGGAGCTTCCTTTTGGAGTTGAGGATCTGTTATACTACATTAAGAGGATTGAAGAGCAGCAATTTGATCTGGACCTTGGAGCTGTTAAACAGTATTTTCCTGTCAATTTGGTTCTATCTGGGGTCTTCAAAATATCCCAAGACCTTTTTGGTAACTGTAGTTTTCTCTATTTTATTAGATTAGAAGTCTCCTCAATATTTCCTTTATCTGTTTTGACTGAAGTCTGGGTTGAATTGTTAATCTAACGTATGATAAACTGTACTATCTGTGCTTCATACAGGCTTAAGATTTGAGGAAGTTGTAGATGTTGAAGTTTGGCATAGTGATGTTCGAGTTTTCTCAGTTTTTGATTTAAGTTCTAGTGAACTTCTGGGTTATTTCTACCTTGATATATACAAAAGGTTCACCGATCACTTCGATAGCTACATGTTTTACCATTTTTTTTTTTTGGTTTGATGTTTTGCTTGTATGAAAGGAACTAATAGGTTTCTATTTTATGACAGGGAAGGGAAATATGGTCACACCTGCGTTGTCTCGCTTCAAAACGGTGCAATATCTTCAACTGGTGTACGACAGGTTATTATTGATGTTTAATCCCTGTGTATATTAGGACTGGAATTACCTGAATTTAAATGTTCTCTGATCTGTAGCATGGTTATACTTGAGACTCCAGTCAAACATATTTTTCTCGAAGTTTTCCTTTTGAGGCAATAGAGAAATATTTATGCCTGGAAATAAGAATTAGGAGTAATTTCGAAGCAAAGAAGTTTTGAATCTTATTTTGCTACTGGAAGAAACCAATTTATCTTTTGTTATATTCTTATCAGTTGCCACTGGAAGAAAATAATTTGCCTTCTAGTCATAAAATTGCTGTCAGTTGCCATAATAATTGCAGTATTACTACAACATTATGACCACTGTATTACCTCTCATTGGTGATGTCATTCAGGGACAACAGTAGTTTTTATACAGCTATGTTACTGTTCCCACTACCACTACTGTTGCTGCCTCCATTTGATGGCATTTTTGACATATTGCAAGTATTCACGAGTTACACTGATCTGGTCAGCACTGTTTATTCATTCCCATCAACCCTGTTGATGCCATGCCTTTAGTGCCATAAAAAATTTATAGCTTCGGCCACTACTAGTCCACTACTACCTCCTTGAGCACTTTCCTGAGGATAGGTCTAAAGTAGTACACGGGAAAATTGTAGCAGGGATAAATATAGGGTTGTTGGAAACAAAAATTTTCTTCATTTATAACCATAATGAGGTATTCAAATGCTGAAATTTTTTTTGCTGTATGCATGAGTACTATTTTCTTATTATTATTATTTTTTTTTACATGAAAAGTATTTGAATAAGGTTTTCAAATTGCTGATTTGTACTCAAGGAAATTCCCTTTGTGTTTCCATTTATCTGCTTGGATACAGCTGCATGATGATACTTGATATTTGTGATTGTCATCTGCATATAAATTAACATGTGACATGTGATCATTTTAGAAAACAGAGATTGACATGTAATATTTTTTATCCTCTGTTCTTAAAATAGATACCAGTGGCGCTACTGATATCTCAAATTCAAAAAGACGTTGTTGGTCTTCCAAGTTTATTGAGATTCTCTGAAGTGGTTAACTTTTTCCATGAGTTTGGCCATGTGGTACGTTCATTTTTGTTTCGATCTTCTGTTAACATATGTTCTCCACAAAATAAGAGGCATGCCATATGCTTTCTAATGTGCTTATCGTAAATAGCGTGGTTTTTTATTATGATGAACATTTAGGTCCAACATGTTTGCAACCGTGCATCATTTGCTAAATTCTCTGGCCTACGTGTTGATCCTGACTTTGTGGAAATCCCTGGTCAGTTGCTAGAAAACTGGTGAGTGATGAATCATGTTGGGCCTTAATTCTAATCAGTTGAAAACAAACTCAACCTGTTACATTTTGAAAAAATTTAGGTGTTACGAGAGCTTCTCGTTGAAGCTGATATCTGGTTTCCATCAGGTGATGCTTTTGACATCTTTTTGATGGATTTTTTTCTCCCTTGCTGTCCATGTCTACGTATAAGATTATGTACACACATCCAATTTGTTGTTGTTTTGGTTTGGTTTTCACCTAATAACTATGTTTCTTGAAGTCTTGGCAATTGGCAAGTACTTTGTTGGATTCCTTTTTACATTGACTTTGTTAGTTGAGATTCCATCTTTGACATTTGTTATCTGTAGGATATCACAAAGCCAATCAAGGATGAAGTATGTAAATCTCTTAAAAGATGGAGATATGCTTTTTCTGCACTGAAATTGAAGCAAGAAATCCTTTATTGTAAGTTTTCTTACTATATCTCCATTCTTGGAACTAGAAATTTATTTTAGTCTCTTGAAAACTTGTTCCTGATTGGAACATTTTTAGAAACCTGATGGTGATTATTATCTACAATCACAAGTGTCTAGCATTAGAAAATAAGTCAAATTTAAGGTTTCTACCGTAGAGACAATGGCTAAATAGTTGTTTCTAGAACATTTTTAATTGCTATTTGGAAATATTCCTAGATGAATCAGGATAGGCAGTTATTTTTTTCCATATTCAGTCAATGATATTATTTTATTGTTTTCAGGTATTTTTGATCAAATTATACATTCAGCCGACAATGTTGACATTGTAGAGTTATCCAAGCATCTTCATTCGAAGGTAAGTAACTATTGCAAAATTTCCTTTACAAGGTGCATTTCTGGGTAGTATGGGCATTTTAATTTTATCTCTGTTTCCACAGGTAATGTTAGGTTTGCCAATGTTGGAAGGAACAAACCCAGCTTCATGTTTCCCACGTAGTGCAATTGGTTTTGAAGCTGCTTGTTACAGCCATATTTGGAGCGAGGTTAATTCAATATCTTTGTTCACTATTTCATGTTTGTTTTTAAGATTGTTATATCCTCTATAATTAACCCTAATCATTATTCTTTTTATTCAATCATTCGCATTGAGCTATTTTGATCCCTGCTACTGGCTTTTCATTGCTGAGGATTTTCCTGTCATCTGTGACCATTTTAGCTATCATTTTTCTGATATGATAAATATGATTTATAGGTTTTCGCAGCTGATATATTTGCTTCTAAATTTCGTGATGATGGTATTCTGAATCAGTATGCTGGGATGCAGTTCAGGAACAAAGTAAGTGGCTTTGATGAAACAACTTTTGGTTATAATATTTTGCGACTTTTCTCAAAATTCTTTTTTATTAGAGTTGACTTGCAGCCTTTTAGTGCTCTTATGTCTTTTGTGCTTTTAAGACGTCTCTTTTTAGTTTCCTAAGCACTTGCATCAGTGCAGGGTATCTTTTGAAAGTTGTCTGCTTCATTTATTTCTGCCTGGATAGTAATTATAGGTGCTATTGACAACTTATGTTCTTTGCTTTCGCCCATATTTTTTTTTTAAATTTCTTGGCAGGTATTGGCCCCTGGAAGTTCAAAGGATCCCATTGAAATTCTCTCGGACTTTCTTGGAAGAGAACCATCAATTCAGGCTTTTGTCAACAGCAGATCTGAATATGGTTTGTGATGATATATGTTTCACATGCGGAAGGGATTTTTTGTTTCTTTAATCTTCCCTTCTGATACCACTAAGTAAAATTTAGCAGCATTTTGCAATTTTAGGTTGCCAGCAGAAATTATAAAAGTTTCTATTTCTCGATGCCTTTCATGCTTAGCGTTGGGTATGCAGATTCAATTGCCTCTCAGCGCCCTGCATTTTTGGTAATTTTCCATTTGTGTATATATATTTCAATAGTCAGGCTTCCATAGTTCCATATTGAAAATTATGGTTCTTGAATTGTCTATTCCATTTAAAAGTTACTTTGCTTCTGCTGAGAGAAATGATAATAAGGAAATAAAGAAAAAAAAAGTTAAAGAAAAGGAGAAGGAAAAATTATTCGCTTTATCAAACGACATGTTTTCATTTCAGCCACTCAGACTCAGCTGCTAGCCTTTGTTCTTTAGCCAGAAAAACAAGGATAGTGCACATTCCGTAAATAACGTTAAACGGTTAAAGAGTCTTTTAATAAATTTAGGATCTTGCAGTGACCCACTAAATTAAGCTACACGATTGTGGACCTGAACTGGGAAAATTTTTCTTGGGCCCTAAAAATAAATCACTTTAATCGTGTTATTTATAGGATTAGAAGCAAGGATGGAATTGTATTTTTCCCGATTATAAATCTTAATTAATTCTTGGTTGTTGCATTCGTACCAGACCACAAAGATAGTTTTCACTGAACTTCCAACTTTCTCAGGTTTCCAAAAGAAGGAACAATTTTCAGTGTAAAGCCAACACCAGGACACTGAAAAGATTAGAGTTATCCTCATGGTTGAGAGTTTCATAGAATCCAAGGGATTTGCAATTATGGACTTTGCGCCGTAAAGATTGTTTCATTTGACAAGGTGAGGTGGTGGCAAAAATCAATGGCCACAACGGGCCAAAGAGATAGAAATCAATGGACAATTTTCGGAACTCACTAGGATGAGACTTTAGAATCTATAACGAGTTAATGACTTCTTCCCACCCAAATGATGGTTTAATGACACTTTTTCACCCATAAATTTTTAAAATATTATATATTACTTAAATTTATATTGTGATGGTGAACAGAAAGCAAACGCGGTCTAGACTATTAGGGTTTTTGAAGAAAAGACACCAATGAGTCTTTTGGTGGTAGAATGTTAGATTTTGGTGGTTGTGATTGATCAAATTTTGACTTAGGAGAAATGATTGCATAAAATTTAATCGCTCGATTGCGGACGATCAGCGGGAGTAGGGTTTTAGTAAGTAATGATTGATAATGGTGGTGGTGGTATAGGGTCGCAACGATATCGGAATCTAAAACAAAATATAAATGTAGGTAGTAAAATAGTATTTTAAAAATTTGTGGATAAGAAAATATAATTAAACTATTATATGAGTAGGAAAGTGTCATTAAACTATTTTTTGGGTGGGAAAAGTGGTTTACTCATCCATAATTAACGATACCAAATAGATCTAAATTTGTTGCTTCGTGTCAAATGTATTTAATTAGTGTAATTATTTCAAATAATAAAGCTGGTCTGTGCTTTTGGTTTTGGTGGGTGGTTGAAGAAATGTATCATCTTTTGTTTATCCTTTTGGGTAAAATAATTGGTATAAATAATAATTCTTAATTTTATATTAGTACAAATAGTTGGCCAGAGAACCATTGGACCATTGGAGCTTGACTTTCATGTACTATTTATTGAGTAAACGACTTTTTCCTCCCAATTAATGATTTAATTATATTTTTTTATAAGTAAACTTTTAAAATATTATTTTATTATCTAAATTTATATTTTCTTTTCGATTATGACATTATTGTGACCTCTCAAACACCATTCCCACCGACCTGGCTAATAACCGATAATCGAACTATTATGGTTTGGATAGTCACTATTCTCAAGTTAAATCCCCGATCAATCCCAACTATCAAAATCAAATATTTCACTACCAAAAGATCCATCAATCTTCCTATTTTAAAAACTTCAACAGTTTAAATTGAATGTACTTTCTGTTTGTAGTTGAAATATAAATATAAATAATAAAATAATATTTTAAAAATATGATAAAAAAATATTTAAACCATTATTAGGGTTGGAAAAAATCATTAACTCCTATTTACTCATTCCCAGATAAGTTTTCTCACCACTCAATTACAGGTGGAATAGGAAGGTCCTCAAATTCCAATTTAAATGACATTATTTAACTAATATATTTAAAAAAAAAAATGACAGTGTCAAATCATAGTGTCGAAACGATGTCGGAGTAGAAACCATGTTCTGTTTTTAAGGGGTCTGGTTTCCAGAATCTTGTTCTGGTTTTCTCTTTTGACTTCACTTCTCAAAACAGCCCAGAATATTGTAGAGAATACAGAGAGATTAAATGCTTTATCTGAGCAAATAATTGAACCCAGTCACGAGAGAAAATAATGAACTAATAATTTTCCCAGTCAACAATCAACACCAAGTAATAGCACTACAAGATTGAATTCTCACATCTACCTTCTGTCAGTCAGTATTTTCTCACTTTAAAATTATTATTATTATTATTATTATTATTATTATTATCAGTATTATTATATTGGACCTCTATATTTGCTTGCATGTGCTTTATTTAAAATTTTCGTGCACGAGTACTCCAATCTTTCATTTTTATTATATTTCTTTTTCTTCAAAGCATTTCCTGATCACAATTCATTAATGTGGTGAATGTGCTTTGCTTTTTTTTTTTTTTTGCAAGTGAAGAACAGAGAAGGGAAAGGGGGTTTCTCAATTTGATGCCCAAGTTGCTGCTAATCTCGTGCTTTTAGTGATTTTATTCATCTGGGTATTTGAATTCTACTTAAAAGTTCAAATTTTGGCAACTGGGTTTTTTGGTTAGAGAGAAGGGTAAAGTAACTAAGCTAAGGGTTTATGTTTTTGTTGATTGAGAATGGAGAGATCAGGGTTGGTTCTGAACATAAGGTGGTGGAGCTTTCACTTAGGGGAGTTTTGAGCTCCTACTTTGGGTTCAAACATTTGGTTTTATGTTCTTGGTTATGTTGAAGTGGGTTTTCAGATTCTGGGTGTTCTCTGTATATGGCTTAAAGGGTTGGTTTTGTTTTTATGTGATGGATTCTGATTAGCATTGGATCGAAATTTGGTGATTACTTTTGTGGATTCTAGAGGTGGTGTTGTGTATTTTCATGAATTATGATCAAACAGATACTAAAGAAGCTTCCTCGGAAGTCGTCTAAGACGACTGATAATCATGAGGTTGGTGGAAACTCTATCGCCCATTCAATTGCCTCTACTGGTTCAAGAAGCAGTGAATTGGGGAAAAGTAAAGCTGGGAATTCCAACATTGTGTCTTCTCAAGGGATTGATTCTGCTACAGATTTGGCACAGAATTATGGTAATAAAATCCAGCGAGGTAATTTGAAGCTCAATGGGAGTTCGATGCTTTCTTCTTATGAAGCATTGCCTGCATTTAAGGATGTTACAAACGCAGAGAAGCAGAGCTTGTTTATAAAAAAGCTTAACTTGTGTTGTGTTGTATTTGACTTCACTGACCCAACAAAGAACCTCAAAGAAAAGGAGATCAAGCGCCAGACACTGTTAGAGTTGGTGGATTATGTGACTTCTGCAATTGGAAAGTTTACTGAAACTGTTATGCTGGAAGTTGTGAAAATGGTATCTGCAAATTTGTTTAGGACACTCACTCCTCAACCACGAGAGAACAAGGTTGCAGATGGTCTTGATTTAGAAGAGGAGGAACCTTCGATGGATCCTGCATGGCCTCACTTGCAAATTGTCTATGAGTTCTTATTAAGGTTTGTTGCATCACCTGAAACAGATGCAAAATTGGCCAAAAGATACATTTCTCAGTCCTTCATTGTCAAGTTACTGGATTTGTTTGACTCTGAAGATCCTAGAGAGAGAGAATACTTGAAAACAATTCTTCACCGCATATATGGAAAATTTATGGTACATCGCCCATTCATCAGGAAAGCTATAAATAACATTTTTTTCCGATTTGTTTTCGAGACTGAGAAGCATAATGGAATTGCTGAGCTTTTAGAAATTTTGGGCAGTATAATTAATGGGTTTGCTCTGCCACTGAAAGAAGAACACAAAGTATTTCTAGTTCGGGCTCTGATTCCCTTGCACAAACCAAAATGCTTAGCAATGTACCATCAGCAGTTAGCTTACTGCATAACACAGTTTGTGGAGAAAGATTGCAAGCTTGCAGATACTGTGATCAGGGGTTTATTGAAGTTCTGGCCTGTGACAAATAGTTCAAAGGAAGTCATGTTCCTGAATGAGTTGGAGGAAGTTTTAGAAGCTACCCAGCCACCAGAGTTCCAGCGGTGTATGGTGCCCTTGTTTCAGCGAATTGCTCGTTGTTTGAACAGTTTGCACTTTCAGGTTGTGAGTTTAAAATTCAGTTCTGCTTTGCTTTTAAATGTCTGATTCTGTTTTGCTTATCCTTCTCATTTTATGGGTATCAAACACATCTCTTTTCTGAAATATCCTTGAAATTTGATAAGGATTTTGTATTCAAGCTTGAGATTTCTTTTAGTAATCAATATTGAAATCATACTGCCCAATAGTTTGAAATTTTACTTTGCAATGACCCTAAATGTTTGGATTGTTGTTTTCTTCTCATCTTTGTTTAATACATTTAGACGTAAGAGTAATGGGGAACCACTATATACGCTCAGAAGAAACGGTCAGCCATAATAAATATGAAGTTGTTATTTTTCAAGCATCAGAAAATTAAAAATAGGAGGGTTGTTGCGTGCTACAGCCTGAGTGGTCGCCTTAACGCTTACAATTCCTAGTCTGGTATCTATACAACTGAAGCTCAAGTTCTTACTGAAAGCATGATTGGATTTCACCTTATTATATTGCACCAAGGTGATATATCACGGATGGATTCAGTTGAAGAACTTACAGTGTGCTTGGACAAGCTTAAAAAGCATCACACTTTAGTAAGAAATAGGATCAAAACCACTCCGACAATACATAAGAATATTTATCATACTAAGAAACTCATTTCTGCTTGAATATTTTCATGGGAAATAATAATGCTTCTTGATATATAATTTAAGCATATTAATCTTTATGTTGATATTGCTGTGATAAGCTGATAGCTTCGAGCAGCTGCCGTCCTTCTTCTCTGAAACTCAACTTATGCAATTGATGCTTGATTTTTCAGGTTGCGGAGAGAGCTTTGTTCTTGTGGAACAACGATCACATTGAGAACTTGATTATACAAAATCGTAAGGTTATACTGCCCATTATCTTCCCTGCCCTGGAGAAAAATGCTAAAAATCATTGGAATCAGGCTGTCCACAGTTTGACTTTGAATGTCCGCAAGATTTTCTATGATATTGATCCAGAGCTGTTCAAGGAGTGCTTACTTAAGTTTCAGGAGAATGAATCAAAGGAAAATGAGATTGAAGCAAGACGTGAAGCCACATGGAAACGTTTAGAAGAACTTGCTGAAGAGAAAGGTGCAAGTGATCAGACAGTGCTTGTTCCCGAAAAAGCACATCCTTCCCCCTCTTCAGGTTAGGGAGGGAGACATATTTGTTGATAGTTCCAATGTCTCATAATTTTTTTATTTATGTGGTAAAATCGTTCAGGTGGTATGTTCATACATTGTTAATTTTTATATCATACCCTATTAAAATCCAAGATATGATGGATGGATTCTGGCCTATAACCAAGGCCCAATAAACATTTTGGTGAGATTGATCCTTTAATCTTAGCTTTTACGGTTTTACCTTGCATATCAGTTTAAATAAATGACAGTGTGATACCACCTATTAGAAAGCTAAAAATGCATTAGTAGCACAAAGAGGAACAAAATAATAAAAAATTATAAATCTTAACCAGCAGGTACAATGCTTAGATACATTGTAGTAGATCTATATTCATTGGTAGTTACCTTCTGTTCTCTTTATTCCTCTGTTTGTACTAAAGAATTTGTGTAGAAGATTAAAATTGTGAAAAGAAATTTTTCTAGGGTTAGTACTGCCTTCCCTGTTCCCCATCACCAGTGCATGACAATTTTTCACACCTGGGTGGGGGAGTCTGTCAATTCGTAAACAGAGTTCTTTGTATTCCTCTGATAGTGCAATGAAATTGCAACAGAAGAAGCTTAAGACAAAAGGATCAAGTTTGCTAGATGCTTATTGAGCTGACCTTATAGGCCACAGACTCATCACATTTGGAGACTTCGATATATTGTCTTCCTCTTGCTTTATCTGTATAAGATATGAAATTGTGTTGATTAATGCAATTACTCTTTCCAGCATGTAATATTCAGACTTGTAGGAACCCTGCTGATGATTGCTTACTTGCTTTTGAGCCTGTAACCATAAAATTCATCTCCAAGTTTTGGCTTGAAAGTGCCAACACCCAGATTGGTGATTGAAACTCTTGAAAGAACTAATTAGCTTGCTCTGCATTCTTGAATAACCCTGTATATTATGGATGTTTAGAAGATCTTAACTCCACTCAAGCTTCATGAGTACTGACAATCATGAAGTAGCCATTTTTGCAATGATGTAGCTCCACTAAACTGATTTTTTCAAGTATGGAATGTTCCTTAAGATATAGCTGCAAGAGCAGCTTCACATTAAGATAATTAAAGCTTTGGTTCCATTCGCTTCAAGTTTACACAAAAGATGATGAATAATCAAATATTCAATCCCCACTAACTCAACTCACCTAACATCGCTAGTCTAGGATAGGCTCCACCTGTTTAAGCACCAAGTCCAGACAGGGTCATTCTCAGGGAGCCTGAGGTTTTGACTTTTGATGATTCTTGTTTGAAAATAATGAAAAATACAAACAGCCACAGCCCACCTGAAGCTGTAGCTGAAGGGGCAGCATCCTTATTCCTATTGCCTGAAAATCGATGCCCTATTTAATATAAAAGGTACAGAAAGATATGATTCCACTATAGCTTTAATTTAATCTACCTTCCTGCTTGGAATTTTGATAGGGGTTAGTCTTGGTCTTGCCAAAAGAATTTCAAATTTGGAAGAAAAAAATAAAAGTTATACGGATTCTATTTCATCTTGTAAAGCTTGTCACCTTACTTGCGAATTCCCCAACTTTAAGGACTTGAATTCATGTGGCGGCAGGAATTGTCTTTGGTTTGGATCCTGATTGAAGACGACTTTGTATAAATCCTAAATCAAACAGATTTAAAGATATCAAATAAGCCTTAAAGACCATTCCTTTTTTGATGGGTTTTCATACTACATTCAAATATTACAAAAGCTAAAAAAAGAAAAATCACTGGTGACCTGGTGACTGGTCCCAAGAGCTGAACAGTGTTGATGACAATATGATTTGGTAAATTTGGTACAGATAATGTGTTTGATAACGTTAGATAAAGCAAATAGCGACATCTTATAAATGTAAATCAAAACAAAAATACATTATAAAACTAGTTTACTAGTTTAAGGTTGTGATTGTATAGAGACTCAAGAGAGAGAGAACTAAATATTCTCTAAACCAAAATGGAGTAAAGAGAGAGAAGAGTTGTTTTAAAAGATCCTCACTTTTGTCAACTTTTTTATCCTCTTAGATGTTCCATTTACGGACAGTGAATCTTCCTTCTATCGACGGCCTCCTTTGCTACGTTTCAATTTATTATTATTATTATTATTATTATCTCTCTCTCTATATGCCTCCTAAAGTGATTTTTTAATAAAATATTTTAAATTAAATAAACAAAATCTTAAAAGTCTTTCTTGCTGGCTGCCCTGCCACACCTCTCTCAAGCTTTTCAGTGTATTTGTAACTTGTAAGTATTTATCATCCTAGTCTCTTGTTACGGTATCTGGGTTTTGCTTCATCTTCTATTTCTATTATACTTTTTATTTGTTTTTTTTTTTAACGTATTTTCTCATGATATTATTGTAAAGAATGCTATTTTGATGTTTTTGATGGAACCCAGATCGTGTTATCGCTTGACCGAGCTGAATTAGGTGCTAGTTGTAGAGAAAACAGGAAGAAGAATCTCAAGAGGTGAATGGGAGAGTATAGGTAATAGGAGCTTCTAGTCTGTGTATTTGTTGTATATAAAGTTCTTACATTCTTATTGTTTGATTTGGGCATCTGGGTACTTGAATTTAAGTCAAACGATGTTATTTCTTGTTCTTGAACTCTGTACACTTGAAGAAAATTCTCCAATTTATTAGAGAATTACGTTTTGTAACCGGTGCTAATACGTTGACGCTTCGATGTGGTGCTACTGGGGTTTGTTTTCTGGTGTTAATATTCGCATAATTGGGTTTGTTAATTCTCTGGATTGAAATTGATTCTGTGCATCTGGGTTTTCCTTATTTGTGATGTGGAGGTTCTTGTCTCTCTCATGGGCTGGCTTCTACTTTGAAGTTGCCTGTGGTCACGGCTGGGTTTAAGCGAATAGTTTTTCTTAGGGTGTATAAATTTTGAGCTATGATCAAGCAGATACTTGGTAGGCTTCCACGGAAGCCAGCCAAGGCATCTGAGAGTCGTGAATTTGGGGGTCCTTCTGCCCCTTCTTTAAATGCTTCTGCCAGTTCTAGAAGCAGTGATCTTGTGAGTGATAGGCCGATAGATTTGGACCATATGACTATTTCGGGTACCAATTCTGCTGTCAATTTTGGGTACAGTCAGGAAAATAAATTTCCCCGAGTTGGAAATCTGAAACTGAATGGCAATGCAGTTGTTACTCCCTATGAAGCACTACCAGGATTCAGGGATGTTCAGAGCTCTGAGAAGCAAAACTTGCTAATTAGGAAACTGAACTTGTGCTTTGTTGTGTTTGACTTCTCTGATCCAACCAAGAACTTGAAAGAAAAGGACATCAAGCGGCAGACATTGCTTGAGCTTGTGGATTATATTACTTCTGCAAATGGGAAATTCACAGAGACTGTCATGCATGAAGTTATAAAGATGGTATCAGTTAATTTGTTTAGGTCTCTTGCACCTCAACCTCGAGATAATAAAGTTTTAGAAGCCTTTGACCTGGAGGAGGAAGAGCCTCTGATGGACCCTGCATGGCCTCATTTGCAAATTGTGTACGAGTTTCTTCTGAGATTTGTTGCATCACCAGAAACAGATGCAAAATTGGCTAAAAGGTATGTTGATCACTCATTTGTTCTCAAGTTGTTAGACCTCTTTGATTCTGATGATCCTAGGGAGAGGGAGTATTTGAAAACTATTCTACATCGCATCTACGGAAAATTTATGGTGCATCGCCCATTTATTCGGAAATCCATCAATAATATTTTCTTTCGATTTATTTTTGAGACGGAGAAGCATAATGGGATTGCTGAGCTTTTAGAGGTTTTGGGTAGTATAATCAATGGTTTTGCTCTGCCGTTGAAAGAAGAACACAAATTGTTCTTGGTATGGGCTCTAATTCCCCTTCACAAACCAAAATGCCTTCCGATGTACCATCAGCCATTATCATACTGCATTACACAGTTTGTGGAGAAAGACTGCAAACTTGCAGAAACAGTTATAAGAGGTTTGTTGAAGTATTGGCCAATCACTAATAGTTCAAAGGAGGTTATGTTTCTTAATGAGCTGGAGGAAGTTCTAGAAGCAACTCAACCAGCAGAATTTCAGAGATGTATGGTACCCCTCTTTCGTCAAATTGCTCGTTGCTTGAGCAGTTCACACTTCCAGGTAATATGTCTTCAAACTTCAATCTTCAAGTTCTTTACAGTTTTGTTCTGTTACCTTAAATGCTACTTCCTGCCTTTGCACACTTTCAAACGTTTATGCGTTCTACACTTGCCATATTTGTGTTACCATCTGTTGTGGTTCCTGTAGTTTTTTCTTAAAAAAAGTGGAACATGCTCTATTATTGTGTTAGTAAATGATAATTATTTTGTTTTTAAGTGGGAAGGAGTTAAATTTGTTTTTAAGGATGATTTCCTATTTTCTTGCTTTAGACTTTTCATTTGGACAATTGTACTTCATATATATTTCTATATTAAGTTGATTAAGACATGATCTTTCGTTTTTGAAATTGTTATCGTTATTGATAATCTTTTTGTCACTTTCTTGTCTCTAGTGACTATTTTGCTGAGTAAGGTTTGGTTGTAAGCCTGTGGTGGGTTGATGCTGAGCTGGGTATCAACGAACTAGAAGGGTTCATTAAACCGTTTGTTCATACATACAGTAGACTATGTTTTAATGTTGGTTCCAACTGTTTTTTAAAAAAGTTTCCTAATTACTTCCATAATCTTGGATTTGTTATCATGGTCAACCTTTTTTTCTTAAAATAACACAACCTAAATTTTTAATAATTTTGTTTGAGTCAATCAAATGTCAAAAACTTTTCACTATCCTTCCTTATACAGGCAATTTTTTCGCTGGAATCCTTATTAGATTCAGGTTCCCCAGATCAAATTGATTGGAGCACCATGCCGTTATGCCATGTTCATATATGTTCATACAAGGATCTTAGTTTTACCTCAGATGAAATGTTGATAATTTATACCACTGCTTTCCTGAATTTGATTTCAGCTACTTTATGCTTTATGCTTGTTTATCAGGTGGCAGAGAGGGCTTTATACTTGTGGAACAATGATCACATTGAGAGCTTAATCAGACAAAACCGAAAAGTCATACTGCCCATTATCTTCCCTGCCTTGGAGAAAAATGGTTGTAATCACTGGAATCAGGTGGTCCAGAGCTTGACACTCAACGTCCGCAAGATGTTCTCTGAAATTGATCCTGAGCTATTTGAGGAGTGCTTGCGCAAGTTTCAGGAGGATGAATCAAATGTGGAGGAGATCAAAACAAAACATGATGCTGTATGGAAGCGCTTGGAAGAGATTGCTGCAGAAAAAAGCTGCAACTAGTGAAGCAGTTGCTGTACCTGTATGATACCTGCCCTAACATCTTCAAGCTAGTGATAAGAGGATATTTTGTTCAGTTAAAAGATTGCAATTTTTATGGACTGGTGTGGTAACTGCAAGATGGTTGGTGTGCTTTAAGAGATCAAATGCTTGTGGTTTGATGTCCATACTCTTTGCTGCTTGTCCTTTGAACCATCAATACTCTTGATGGTCATTATTTCTCAATGCAGCAGTGCAGTCCATTTGCATGGATGCCATCTACTGCTTACTCCCCAAAGTGGAACTATTACTGTAGCCCAGATTCCCATTAGGGGGTATGAGAGTGGTTTTGGCATTGTTATAGTTGATTTTTGAGGAGTTACATGAAGGATTTAGCTACAATGACAGGTGAGTTAGGCACTTGGCCTTGATTTTGATCAGTTCTCCTGTACTTGCTGAACTGCTCAATCTCATTTCCTATGTTGTATTTGTTATATATTTGTCCATTGTTCTACAAATGAAACCTTTGGTTTGTGTGTATTCTTATTTGTACAAATTGTAATAGAAGTGAATGGGTTTTAAGTGGGGATATCATGATTGTTCTTTGTTACTGTAGTCTGGTGATAATGTTAAAAACTAATAGGCTAATATTGTTCCATCCAGAAAACAATGTTCTTGATGGGTACAGGTACACTGCAATGTCCATTAGGGGCCTTCATTAGCATTTGAATTGTGACACCGGCGTGGAATAGGTCAGATTAGATGGATAATAATGAATAGGCAATTTTGGGCTGCGTTTGTTTCAGTTTTGGGAATACTACTTTTAGTATTCCCAAAAAAGTTAAACAGTAAAATACCCAAAAACTCAGATTTTTTGGAATACTACTCCCAATATTATGCAACTTTTTTTAAACCCCTTAAATTTGATAATTTAATTAAATACCCCTAAATATTTTTTTTAAAATTACAAAAACACTCCAATAATCCACATTTACCAGATTCCGGCCACCACCACCGAAAAATGGCCGAAATCTGGTAGGATGGCGCACTACCGGCTGAATCTGGCCGGTAGTGCGCCGATCTAGCCTTTTCCGGCCAGATCCACGGTGGATCTGACCGGAAAAGGCCAGATCTAAGGCCAAAGATCTGGCCGTTGACGGCCAGATCTTTGACCGTAACAGTCGGTCACAACGCCAACAACGGTCTCGTTGACCACAACGACGACCGTTTGTTGGCCGTCGTTGAGAGCAATACGGCCAGATCTGGCGGTTACGGCCATCTGGCCGTAGATCTGGCCTTTGCCGCCAGATCCACCATGGATCTAGCCGGAAAAGGCCATATCGGTGCATGACCGGCAAGATCCACCGGTCATGCGCCCATAAGGTGACTTCGGCCACCTCCGGTGGTGGTGGCCGACTGGGGGTGTTTGAGGGTAGTTTAGGGGTATTTTGTTAACTTTTAATGTTTTATTATAGGGGTATTTTGTAAAAAAATAAATATATAGGTATTTTATTAATTTATAAATCCTACATCGTAATACCCGCCCAATTAACTTTTTTAACTTTTTTCAAAAAACTTTTCCCAAAACCCCCAAATTTTGAACAAACTGAGCCTTGATATTTGAATAAAAATTTTGCTCCCAAATTGCTACAAAACCCTCTTGTTACTATGAAAGCTCTGAACTAGCTTCTACTCCTTTTCAAATCTCTTTTCTGTTTCAAAGAAAGCAGCGATTGTACCTATATGCAGCATAGAAGGTGTAGAATCTGGACACAGGAATGAAAGTTAAATTGCCCACTTTATAAGTCACAATATATATGAGCCACGCGATTTCTTACAAGAATCTAAATTTAGCTGCCTCGTATTTCACTCAAGCTGCAATTGTACTGGACTTACATGTATGGCTTTTCGCTCAAACATTATTCTCACCAACACTATAAAGCTACTAAATACGCGTGATGACAATATTCAGCAGAAAAACCACAGCTAAATTTATCGTAAACTAACTGCAGAATAAGGTTATGGTGATGGCAACTATGGAAGTTGAGATTATATCTAGAGAAGTCATTAAGCCTTCCTCTCCAACCCCACCTCACCTAAGGCTTCACAATCTATCATTTTTTTATCAGTTCATCCCTTCCTGGTTTGTTCCTGTTCTCCTATTCTACCCCAACAAAGCTTCATATTCCGCCACCAAAAGATTGCATTTGCTCAAAACGTCCTTATCTGAAACACTAGTCCGATACTACCCACTTGCAGAAAGGATTGGAGACTCAGAATCTATTGAGTGTAACGATGAGGGTGCTGTAATTTGGGAAGCACGAACCAACTGTGGGCTATCTGAAATTTTGAAGCACCCAGAGAATGAGACACTGGACCAGTTGTTGCCAGACGATCTGCAGTGGACTACTAATTCAAACATCCCTTTAGTTATTCAAGTCACCTTCTTTGACTGCGGAGGAATGGCCATTGGCTTGTGCTTGTCACATAGGATATTGGACATGTCAAGCATGGGCAAATTCATCAACAACTGGGCTAACACTGCCCGTGGCACAGGTGATCATCAAAACGTTTTGCCGGATTTTAGTGCAGCGACTCTGTTCCCACGTGGTGATCTACCAGTGCCACCACCACATAAGCTTCCAGGAGGGACTGTTGTCACCAGGAGGTTTGTGTTTAGTGCCTCAAAAATAACATCTCTCAAGGCCATAGCCAGTAAAAATGTGCAAAATCCCACAAGGGTTGAAGTGGTAAGTGCTCTAATCTATAAATGTGCAAGCTCTGCCTCTAGAGCAAACTCAAATTCGTCAAATCCGACTCTCTTTGTCCAATCACTGAATTTGCGTTCAAGGACGATGGACCGCCATTGCCTGAAAATTTTATGGGAAACGTAGTTTTTATATTTTCAGTATTGACAAGTGAGGAGAATAAAATAGTTTTACATAGTGTAGTTGGACAGAAGAGGGAAGAATTAGCGAAATTCTTGATAGGCATGCAAAAAACTTTAAAAAGAATGGTTCTCAGCAATTTTAGAGTGTTTGAAAGATGGAAGGAAAGTATATTATTCAAACAAAAATTTAGATGTGTATACTTGTACTAGTTGGTGTTGGAATCCTGTATACCAAGTGGATTTTGGTTGGGGGAGACCGGAATGGGTAACCACTACTAGTAATGGGATGAAGAATTCTATTCTGCTGTTGGATACAAGAGATGGGCTCGGGATTGAAGCACCGGTGACTTTGGAAGAACAAGACATGGCTATATTTGAGCGTGATGATGAACTGCTTTCGTTTGCTACTGTTAATCCTGGTGCTGTGGAGGCTGCCACTACATAAGCTGTTTATGTTGATAATGGTTCCATGATTAGCGCAGGAGTCAATTACGCGGATGAACCTAAAGAACTGTAGTGAATCCAATGTACAGTTTGATATAGCCATTTCTTGTACGTGTCTATGTTAGGATCCCACATTGAAAGGAAAAATGGTGGACATGTGGATTATAAAGGCTTGGGCACCCTTCTTTGGCAAGCCGGTTTTCTAAGGAGAGTTCTACCCAAGCCCATGAAAGACCCATGACCTAGCCTAAATTGTTGAGTTATTGTAGTGGGTTCCTATCAATTGGTATCAGAGCCAGGTTGTTATGGGAACCAATAAAGAGCGTATTGAACAGTTGGAGGCTGGGCTCGGTGAAGTGCAAGATGGGCTACACCGGATGGAGCTCAACATGGCGGACAAGCTGCGACATTTAGAAACTCTTAACCATCTCTCTGATGTACTCCTTGCAGACCAAGAGCCTCCAAACTAGGGTAACCCACACCGTGAAGGCCACAATGGGGGACGACTTATTGTATCCCTCCAAAACGGCAAAACTAGAGTTTCCTAGATTCTTCGGAGATGACCCGACGGAGTGATTCAACTGTGTGAACCAATTTTTTGAATTCCAGAATACTCCTGAAACCTAGAAAGTTTCCTTAGCCTCTTACCATTTGGAAGGAGAGGCCAAACAATGGTGGTACTGGATCCACAAGATGTTCCAAGAAGAAGGACGTGCTCTCTCATGGGCAGATTTTGAAGATGAGCTCTGGGCATGCTTTGGGCAGTCGGAGTGCGGGGATTTTGATGAAGCCCTTTCAAGGATACAGTAGGACGGTTCATCGTGTGATTATCAGCGGGAATTCGAGCGCTTGGGCAATCGCGTACGAGGTTGGACGTAGAGAGCTCTTGTGGGAACATTTATGGGTGGCTTAAAAACGAACATTTCAGATGGTATCCAAATGTTTAAGCCTCGGACATTAAAGGAGGCTATCAGCTTCGCGTAAATGAAAAATGATCAACTATCGAGACAAGGGACGTGTGTACATCCTCCACCACTAGTGAAAGCCCCGTTAGCTCTTCCGCCAGCAACTCGGGCAGCACCAGCCGCACATGCAGCTCCTGTTCGACGACTGACTTGGGATGAAATGCAGCGGAGGCGAGCTCAAGGTCTATGTTTTAATTGTAATGAGTATTTTATTGCAGGTCACTGGTGTCAAGGGCCATGACTACTTATGCTGGAAGGACACGATGGCAAAGGCAACATTATTTGTGAAGAAGTCACCAGAGAGCAACCAATTCAGGGGGGATGTGTCGTTCGAAATCGGCAATATGGTACTTTTGAAGCTGCACTGATACCAGCAGCAAACAACCTTTAAACAGGTCTAAGTCCACCAGAAAATGGCTAGACGAAAAAGCTCCTGGAAATATTTCCAACTGTGGACCTTGAGGACAAGGATCCACTTGATTGGGCGGGGGGGAGGGGAATTGATAGGCCACGACATTAGGATGAGCTGGGACGTGCATGCAACGTAAATAGTAGACGGAGTCCATGCAGGAATGGACTGGGTCGTGGCAGTTTAAGTGTAGAAGGAAATGCAGTTTACATGCAAAAGGAAATGGTCATCCATAGTTGCAAGTTTTACGTCATTTTATTTCAGTTTGTTATTACTCTGTTGTTATGTGTTTGGGTTCTATTTTACGTGTTTGAGTTCCGATTGCTAGTTTCCCTTCATTTTCGGTTTGTTTGTACGTGGCTTTGCTTATTTAAGCAACCAAAGGTTATCAATGAAAGGAAGCAAAAATTATCTGAACTATTGTGGTACTTTCTCACCCAAAGAGGAAACTATTTATCTAAGTGTGGTACGTTCTCGCCCGAAGAGAACATTTGCTTAAGCATTATCTGTGTTTGGGACCTATGTGTTAACTAATAAAATTCTGATAACATATGTGTTGATGTGGCTTATGATTTGCCACGGTGGAAGTTAGCACTTTGTTAAAGAGTCAAAGGAGCATGCAACATCGTTTCAGTCCTGGACCAAGATGTATATCGTGTCCTTTGATCCTTGAGTCTTGCAAAAGCTTCTCATCTCTCTCTCTCTTTTCCTCACACAATGCATGGCTGAAGAATCTTCTGGATTGTTGGCCATCACACGACTATGATGAAATCAAAGACAGGTGTAGGCTGTTTAAGAGAAGGATGATTGTGTATTTAAGTGTGGCTGCTGGAAAAGAGGAGATAGATCCCAATTGCAAAACTTAGGGTTGTCAATTTGGGTGTGTCCCTTCCTTTGTATTCTTCTTTGTTCTTTGTTCATCTATTGTACATTCTTGGTGAGTGAGTAATGAAAATGCCCTACTGTGATCCTTGGAGAGTGGATTTAGGCTGCAAAGCTGAACCACTATAATCTACTGTGTTCTGTGTTCTTCTTTGCTTGCTTATTTCTTTCCTTTTGGTTAATCAATTAGTCTATTGATTGTGTTTTTGGGTTGAAAGTGTTAATTAGTAAACCCTAGGATCCTGACAACATAAATAATGTATGTTAGAATAGTCTCGCTGGTTGTTCTTTGTTGTGGCCAGGGCCCCGAAGGCCATTTGAATTGATTTATTTGATATGATTTAACAAATTCAACTATTACCAACTACTCCGTTTGCAAATCTCTATGCATCCCCTTTGTTTTTTCTCGGATGTACAGTTCAATCACTTATATTTTATGGAAACGTGGGTTAATTTCAATTACTCCATACCATTTAAAAAATGATGAATACACCCCCAAAAAATTACAAATACACCTCCAATAGTTTACAAAAATTATAGTTCAGTCCCAGTTCCTACTTAGGTACCCGGACCTCGGTTCTGATTCCAGATCCAGTTCTGGTTCCAGCATTGTTGGAATCAGATCCGGACCCAGAAATTCTCGGTTCCAATTTTCCATAACTGGAACTAGACCCCAATAGGGTTGATTCTGGTTCTACCCTTTACCCATGCTTACCCCTTACGCATACCATTTCATCAATCTGCAGAGGTACAAACTAAGAGATTATTATAGTAAAATGTTAACTACAACATGAATCACAATTCTAAGACTAGATCTTATGCACATCATGTCCACTAAAAACCATGCAGCCATGCTGAATTAGGTGAAACATAGTCATAATGGGTTGCCCGGGACTCGAAATCGGAACTAGTCAGATGGAGTAGAAATATTCTTTATTCAATAGTCAATTTAAATTAAGTAAAAAAAAAACCTCCCTAAGCCGTGCCTGCATTTTTCATTGCAAGTAATATTAGGTTCACAATCTAATCTCACAATCCTTGACGTAATAATTTGTCATTGGTTAGCTCGTAAATGGCACGTGGGACTCATACAAATAGGCGAGACCTATTTTTTGAACTGACCAATGACGAGTTACCACGTCGAAGGCTATAAGAAAAGGTTATGGATTGAGTTGTAGACCTAACATTACTCTTTTCATTGCACACAACTTTTCTTACGTATAACATTGAAAAATCTCTTTCTTCCCCTGACTATGTAAACCAATGGATCGCCTTGCTCCTATTAAAAACACTAGTGTAAGCGGATTCGCTTGCAAATGATAAGGATAAAAAATTCATAATTGGGGTGATAGTAAGAGTATAGTTACAGTAACGTTGATCATTTCATTTTTTAAATCAAATCCAAATAAATCATTTTATCTAGGATTCGGTGTGGGATGCTTCACTGAAACAAAACAAAAAGGGAGGCCCGGCTGGGTACTGCCAGGCCAAGTCATGGAAATAAAAATGGCCCTGGAAACAAAATTAAAGAGATATTCTTTATTATTATTATTATTATTATTTTTATTCGAGATATCTATTTCATGAAGAGTTGACTTTATATATATATTCAACCAATCGATTTGTTATCATCTAAACTTACTTCGTCCCATTCAATTATAATATATGATTGTCTTGTTTTCAATTATCCCAATCAAGTATGGAGACGGGGTTCCAATGGTTTTTTAAAAAAGTTTCCTAATTACTTCCATAATCTTGGATTTGTTATCATGGTCAACCTTTTTTTCTTAAAATAATAAAACCTAGATTTTTATAATTTTGTTTGAGTCAATCAAATGTCAAAAACTTTTCACTATCCTTCCTTATACAGGCAATTTTTTCGCTGGAATCCTTATTAGATTCAGGTTCCCCAGATCAAATTGATTGGAGCACCATGCCGTTATGCCATGTTCATATATGTTCATACAAGGATCTTAGTTTTACCTCAGATGAAATGTTGATAATTTATACCACTGCTTTCCTGAATTTGATTTCAGCTACTTTATGCTTTATGCTTGTTTATCAGGTGGCAGAGAGGGCTTTATACTTGTGGAACAATGATCACATTGAGAGCTTATCAGACAAAACCGAAAAGTCATACTGCCCATTATCTTCCCTGCCTTGGGAAAAATGGTTGTAATCACTGGAATCAGGTGGTCCAGAGCTTGACACTCAACGTCCGCAAGATGTTCTCTGAAATTGATCCTGAACTATTTGAGGAGTGCTTGCGCAAGTTTCAGGAGGATGAATCAAATGTGGAGGAGATCAAAACAAAACATGAGCTGTATGGAACGCTTGGAAGAGATTGCTGCAGAAAAAGCTGCAACTAGTGAAGCAGTTGCTGTACCTGTATGATCCTGCCCTAACATCTTCAGCTAGTGTAAAGGGATATTTTGTTCAGTTAAAAGATTGCAATTTTTATGGACTGGTGTGGTAACTGCAAGATGGTTGGTGTGCTTTAAGAGATCAAATGCTTGTGGTTTGATGTCCATACTCTTTGCTGCTTGTCCTTTGAACCGTCAATACTCTTGATGGTCGTTATTTTTCTCAATGCAGCAGTGCAGTCCTTTGCATGGATGCCATCTACTGCTTACTCCCCAAAGTGGAACTATTACTGTAGCCCAGATTCCCATTAGGGGGTATGAGAGTGTTTTGGCATTGTTATAGTTGATTTTTGAGGAGTTACATGAAGGATTTAGCTACAAT